TTTGTAGTTTCAGCCAGGCTGGGTGTCCGTGGTTTATTGGAATAGTATTTCCTTCTTCGTGTTTTATCGGCAAAGTGCCTGAAACCTATCGGGAAGAGGGCGCGTTGGGCCTGTGTCGTTTATTTTACCTGTAAATTAGTTCTTTGTTGTATCATTCGGGCATAATGTTTTGTGACGAACTTTGTATCATCTTGGTGTTGCCACATAATAAGTGGGTTGGCAGCAGGTGTACACGCCTCGAGGGGGCTTGTTTCTTGTTGTGAACGCTGTGCTTCTCTAAGCCAAGTGGGCGATCAACACCGGAGGCGGCTGCTGCCCGTTCTCGTGTTTGCTCGTGTTTCTGTTGCGGAGAGGGTCGAAGTATTTCCGAGCTCACGCTCCCAAGTACTTGCTTGCTCCAGCTTGACCTCTATCTGAGCACTTAAACTTGTGGGGCAAGAAGAGCAGCCCTTGGTGTTTGATAGGTTCGGATGGGCAACTCGGGGACCCCGGAGTTACGTGCAGTGTTCGCGTGTAATGAGGTTTTCCTCGCGTTTTCGACACACCCAATGCTAGTGCGTAGCTATGTATGTGCGTTTCATTCTTGAGTGCGAGTACTTAATTAAATGTAATGTGTAGGTGGGCGGCCCGTTTCCTGCGTGCGACATCAGATAGCACAACGTTATTTAGTGACCATACTTACTGTTAGTGTACAAGTAGCTGCCGTGTCACTGTCGCTACTCCATCCTTCTCATATTTTTTTCTTCGGGATTCAGGAGAGTTGTGCCGCTGGGTGAGGGTCCCGAGTCAACGGGCACAAGTGTATGCGGTGCAACACAGCGCGGGAGAAGGGGCACCCAACTGCAATTCAATTCAAATCTAGCTGACGCCATTCAAGAGTACTCCATCTGTAGTTCATCTTGCAGCACAATTCCAAGTGCTGTACAACCACAAGATCAGCAGCTAACATTACTAATGCTCGGTGTTGCTGGCAGCGTGGCAGGAGACAAGCATGGTGCGTTTATGCAAACCGAAGTTTTGAACTTAATCCCTGTCTACCTCTCGATCCTCGGCACTAATCAAGTTCAACTCTTCTGCAATATACTCTCTGACGCTCAGTCCATCTTCCCTCAAATTTTGGTGGCGATTGATCCTGTGGTGGGCGTGTTCTCGTGCTTAGTCTTTTTGGCGGGTGCACAGCATCGGTTGCGCTGTGTAGGTACGAGTCTCACTTTTTTTTAGGGGAGGGGCTGCGGGTTGCGCCGACAAGTTGAAGCCTACAGTGGACGGAATTCGGCAAATGTTGGTTCCCTAGATAGCTATTGAAAGAGTCTACTGCTGTTTTAGCCTTGTGTGGGTGTACGCCGGTTGCGCTGCTCTTCTGTGTAAACCGATACTTTTTGTTCCGCCGCCATCTTTTTTTTTTCCAGCCGTGCAGCACTGTCGACGATTGTCAATTGCGATTATGGCTTTGGTTGGTTGTTCTTTTTCACTGTATGTCCACGGACGCATTCTGACAGCACTTCAGACAGCAGTTGCGCGCCCCGAACTTGTACCATGCCTTCCATGGTGTTATTATTGTACAGGCAGCACTCGAGACGAACGTTCATTTTTGTAACGTGCAGGACAGGTGGGATTGGATGCTGGTGCAGTCGAATGTAGTGTGTGGACGGGTAGTTCAGTTTTTCGGCACGCAAACGTGCTGCAGGGATGAAGGTGTACCTCTTCGGGCTTGTGTACCCTTTTCTTGCTAGTTTGCATTTTCTTTAGATCTTCTGATGGCTCTAGCATTTTTGTGACCACGGCCCGCGTCTTTGCTAAATTTTGGGATTAGCAACTGAAACGAGTTTAACGTGAACACAACAACAACAACAACGAAAGGAAGGAACCCGGGGTGTAAGCGCCATCTCTACGGCGTCTCTCTACAAAATCAGTGACGTCATCACACACACACAACACCTATGTTCAGGAAAAATCGGAAAATATTTGACAACACAAAATGTTTGTCCGTGCGTCACGGGTGCTCCGGTGCCGCTGCTCCGGTGTCGCTGATCCGGTGCCTCTGCTCCGACGTCGCCGTTGCCAGTCCAAGCACGACCAAACTCGACCCGCTCCGTCCGTACACGGTCTTGTTGCTGTCCTTCCCTGTGGGTTCCTCGCTTTCTCCGTTGGTGCACAATTTGCAGGGTTCTTGGCCTGAAAATTCTCGCGCCGAAGGGTCAACCAGCCCACTCAGATCGTCACCACCTGCTCCCTCCTCCCCTTTGATGGCGAAGCCAGGTTACCGAGACAATGCAGCTCCCTCTAGCAAACCTAGGGCCGTATACATACAAAGTGCCCATCCACCTTTCTGATGGCGTCTGCCTCCGCGCACAAAACTGAGATGGATATTGATGTCTACACCGACGGCCATGAGGCCCGCGCATCTGCACTTTTGTACCTGACGCACCAGTGCCGACCCAACTCTATCACTACGCACGCCTCGCGGCGGGTGCTACGCAGCAAGAAGGTATCGGTCCCTTGAGGGTGAGTCTAGCCATGCTCGTCAGAAAGACCCCCCTCCTCGGTTGGGTTTTCGTCGCTTGGCAACGACGTTGTAAAACAAGCCCCCCCCTCGGTGTTTGCCATCGGGGTTGGGTTGTCGTCACTTGGCAACGACGTTGTAAAACAAGCCCCTCCCTCGGTGTTTGCCATCGGGATTGGGTTTTCGCCGCTTGGCAACGACGTTGTAAATACAGCAAGTCAATTCACTTCGTTACCTCGGCAACCAAGTTACCTTTTTTTTATTTTTGCGGCACGCTGTGCGGGGTCGAGAATCCTCACTCCGTGCAAGGGGAATGATCGCACCATGTTGTGTTATAATGGTCAAGCATCCTCAAGGCAGTTACACATTGCTTACAACTTTCTCTGGAAGTGAAAGCACCAGAACATAACTTAAGTCATACGCAGCTGTCATCCGTAAGCAAGGAAGTAAGCACAAGATGCTGAACACCCTTAGCAGGATGCAGCGCACCCTTCATGCGACTTGCCGAATAACTCACGGCGCTTCGCGCTTGGTGATGTGAGGGCCTGGTCCGGTGAGAACCTGGCGTGCTCCGTCCCGGCTTTGTAGGGGTGCGAGGTCAAGGGTCTAACAACTACGGCATACACGACTATGAGTACACCCCCCTCCCTCCCCCCCTCGGTATGGGCCCTGCCGGTCGTACTCTTCTTTTTCTTGTTCGACGAGGATGGCTGCCCCGCCGCGCTGCCAGAGCCATGCGTAAGCAAAAACCTTGCCGAGGCAACGAGGGGAAAAAGGGGACTGTTGTGGGTTATGTTTGTTGTGACGACAAATAAATACATGTTCGCCAGGGCGTTTTTCGTTCTGCCGAGTGGGAGGGACTAATCTACCGGCCCGCGTTCTGGTGGTCTCCTTCATTCGGATGTGATGGTGCGTACAGGACAGACCATCAGCGAGCATGATTAACGTGATTTTTGACAGCATCGAGTCCCTCGCCACAAAAAGTGTATGCACATCGATGGACGTTCTGAGAAGGGCCCTCTTCCCTCTCTCGGTGCAGGGCCGGTCGCGGCTGTTCTTTTCGGGAGCACTCGGATGTATAGACTTTATTCGTTTTTATCTTTTTGCCAGGATCGCAGCATTCACTACTCTCTCGGCGTACCACAGGCCAGCAATTAACTTTCCACCTGGATTTGAGACTGGCGGGTCTCCTCCCTCGGCACACCACAGGCCACCAGCATTTCGAGGTCCGCCCTATGTACCATTCTTTGCTCTCCCTGCCTGTCACTTCAAGTAACACACAATCGATCGATCGATCGATCGCTGTGGCCGTTGCCGTTATGTTCGGCCCCTTTGCACCGAGTGCTCTCGGGGCTCTACGCCCAGTGCCCCCGTTTGCGCTGCACCTCGCACACTCCCTCTTCGTTTGGACGCATCGACCAGCAGTCATTCCCGTGCGCAAGTCAGTCGTTCTCGTCAATGCTCCGCAATCGACCATTATCAGTCTCGTTCTCTCTCTCTCTTCTCTCTCTCTCTCTCTCTCTCTCTCTCTCTCTCTCTCTCTCTCTCTCTCTCTCTTCCTCTTCCTCCTCTCTTTCTCTAACTCTCGCTGGTTCTCTATTGTAGCTATTTCCCTCTTTAGTCTTCTCTCTCATGTCTTACAGCAGTAGTCACCTCCCTCTTTCTGTCTTGGTCGATTAGCAGTTGCTCGGCAACCAGCAAGGTCGGCAGTGATCCTACTGTCGCTTTGAGTCTGCGGTCTCCGCGGTCATCCGCGTGGCCTCACAGGATCCATGGATCCATGTGTGTGTGTGTACATATCTACACACACACAGGATTCCACCCCTTTTTGGTTCCAAATCAATCTCTGCCACTCACGTGACAGTCCCGTGAATGACCTACAAGATAAACGAAAAAGTATGATTCCTACACTAAACTCAAGTAAAGCCCCTTGCCAACATCTACCGCATAAAGAATCTGAATTTTCGGCCATCTGGTGGCGTTTCGGGCCACTTTTAGTGGTGAAGAATGATTTTGAGGTTGGGTTTTTTAGGTTGGGTTTTCCCCATAACCCAACCTGAAAACCCAACCTCAAACTAATAATACTGCCTTTCCCTGACACCAAATCCTCGCAGCAGCCATCCAACTCATCAGCAAATCACTTGCAACTGCCACCGCCCACACTCGACCCCTCGACCACCCCACCTACTCCCTGGAAAGCAGTCACGGGGCACCTGTTACCTAAAAACCCAACCTCAAAAACCCAACCTCAAAGTTTAAAGCTGACTAAATCAATCTTCACGCCACCCATCTAACACATCATATCCCACCACCTCTTTCCATACCAACACTCAGACACACAAACTTTGTGACACCCACATTGCACTCATACACGTTGAATTTTAACCCATCCATGTCTCACCAAGGTAAAACATGGGCAGGAAAAGGGGGAGGCAGCGTGGCAAAAACAAGAAGCAGATGATGAGCAAGAAGAGGGGTGAGGCAGCTCTGCAAAAACATGAAGAACGTCCCGGCGACCCCGAAGCTTTGCGACAACAGCCGCGTGTACTTCACGACTGAGGGGGCGCAGTACATGGCGCTGGACGTCGGTGGCGGCGGTCTGTGTGCTCTTCTCGGCGTCATCGCTGTGGCGATGGACGACGTAGGAACCCCTTGTGAGGAGATTTTCGAAGCCATCAGCGGCGAGCTCACAGACGTCATGACGGAGTACGTCCAGTCCCTCCGCGCGAACATCGTCAGCACGTGCGGCGACCAGTTCGCCTTCAAGGACGGTGAAGAGCTGGCTAGCTTCGACGACATCGTCCACGACCCGATGTGGGTGATTGCGACGAGGGCGATGTGGGAGCTGGTGACACTTCATCCAACTGGATATCTCGACGGAAGGGCGGTGTGGCTGTTGGCGAAGTTCCTCGGGTTGCACGGATTTAGGATAGTCAAGCACGAAGACGGCCACTTGGTCTCATGTGATGCCGGGGGCCCCATCTCCTCCGAAGAGTGCCCCATGATGCTGCACGACGGCTACGGGCACTTCAAGGCCCTGATTCCACTTCGAAGAATGCCAGGTAAGTCTCGTCTGTTTTTAATTATATGTGTGCGCGTACATGATATGATCCGTGATATTTTTGATTTGAATTTAAAAACATATTTGAAGTTCACACTGCTCACGTTTGGCCAACGCATGGTTTGTTTTGCCACCCCCCTTCAGGAGTTCCAGATAAATCAAGAGTACCATTTGCTTCTCGAAGAGAGTTTCGTGGACGGCACCGATGAGGAGGAGGCCGTTCCGGGGACGTCGGATTTGGAGACTTCGGACGGCACCGACGAGGTCACTGAATCGGCTGTCGCGGTAGATGTAGCCGGCACGGAGGCGTCTGATGGTGGATCGATGCCGAGCGCCCAATCGTCTGATTCCGGTGGGGGCGACAGTGACCTGGGGGCACGTGGAGCGTTTGGCGAAGATGCTGAGGTGCGCCTTGTTCGTTAATTCTCCTTGTGTAAAATTCTACATAAAAAATAGTCGTCTAGTGGTCCGAACCACCGCATCGTTGTTGACAGACAGCAGCCATAGCACTGAACATACAAATCCATGGTCTCATTTCGTTGATTGAAAAATAGGGAGAAGAGGTAAAAGCGGCTACCCATGTGTCCAGCAAGAGGAGCCACCCATGGGACGACAACGAGTATTGGGATGACGACACCAACTACTACTCGGGTTGCACCATAGTTGGCGAAGACGGGTGGACTCTCGTCGGCAAGGAAGGTCGGCGAATGGGGTTGGAGACAACTTTGGCCTTCGACGAAGTGAGTCCCTGATACCCCAACCTGAAATACCAACCTGAAATACCAACCTGAAAACCAAACCTGAAAACCCAACCTGAAAACCCAACCTGAAATACCAACCTGAAAACCCAACCTGAAATACCAACCTGAAATACCAACCTGAAAACCCAATGCTTTTCGTGAACACAGGCCTCGGGTTTGTACGACCTCACCAGTCCGAACAAATGCCAGCCTTTGTTCCTAAACCACGATGACGAAACCGATGAGAACGAAGCAGCGGAAGTGGACGAGGCTGTGGACGAGGTGGGCGAAGATGAAGCCGCAGAGGAGGTTGACGAGGACGAGGAGGCTGAGGCCGAGGCTGGAGAAGAGGTGCAGCAGACTATCGTCGTACACGAAGGAACCACGAGTTCCCCCTGGATGCTGGCTTTCTTTCTGCCGCTTCAACTCGCCGTTGGGGCCGCTCTTTTCCTGGTGTTT